TTCAACATTTTCAATGGTCAACAAACATGTGAATGATAATCACTGATGCTTTTGAGGTTAATATGCTACTCTTTAAATTCCAAAATTGAAATAAATAGTACTTCTAGAGAAAAGACTTGTAACTGTATTACAATTTAGAACAAGTAGCACAGGAAAATGTTGGTGTTAAATGTGTAATGGGGTTTGAAATCAAATCTCATTTTGAAGGTATTTGGTTCAATCTTAAAAGTCAAAGTGTTCCTCCATTTATCGATGGAAGGAAGTATTTATTAGCTTCATGTATGCATATTTGCATTTTAAAAAATTTATGCTAATAAACTTCTTGTTGTGAGCTAGGTTTATAACCAGATTCCGGTGTTATAATCATAGGGGATGTTATCACAATGCACAATTTCCATTGCTGGCACCGAATATTGTTTTTGGACCTGAAGATGACAACTTTCGACCATACCATGCTTGTGGAGGAGACTTGAAACCTAAGAACAGATTATCTGATTGGAATTGCAAAGACCCAACTAGGCTATTGTCTCTGATTCTCGAACTTAGGTATTTACCCCCCTACAGTAAGCTCAGATGAAATGTTTATGTTATGAATGTTGCCCATTTAGTATGTGTAAAGGATTATGTTTACACTACAGGAGTTTGTACATGGCATACCAGAAAAAACATGTTGGGGAAGTTGATGATTAAATGTTCAAATGTACAAATTGTATGAGATGATTTGTTGAATATAAATATCACACTCTTGAAAACACATAAAAACATATTAAATTTTCAAGGTATTACTCATATTTTTTCACGTAAACTAAGAAAACTCATAACTATATACTAGAGGTGTTCATGCATAATGCAACACGATCCATCTTCGTTTTCAAACCGAAAACCTGAACCCTAAATCACAATTCATGTTTCAGTTCATTATCGGTACCTATCGGTGTTGTTTTTTTTATCTTGTGTGATTTTAACAGAACGAGAAAGTTTACAACTGGATATTAGTTTTATAGAAATTTAGTCATATTTTTAGGGTTCAACACTTATATTGTATTTGAACATATTTACCAGATTATACTTATAGAGTTCAAAAATAAAAAATTTAGAAGTTACATTACGAGGTAAACTTGAATTTTCAAAAAATGAAGTAGATGTTTTATAATATAACTAGAAGGGTATTCGTGCAATGTAACGAGATACAATAATAACAAAAATTATATTTGTTATGACATAAAATAAATTAATTTTAAAATCATCTATACTATCTTATAAACCAGATTTATCAAAAGTCTAAAAAATAATTTTTAATACACAAAGTACTATACATTTATGCACAAAGTCTTAAAAACAACTCATAATGCATTAATTACTACTACTTTATGCATTCCGTCTTAAAATCTCTTAATTTATAATAAAAATAACATATAGTACAAGTTACCAATGCACATTATTACATTTTATTTTCATGTTCTCAAGATATTTTTGACACCTTTTACTCATGTTTTCACCCTCTCATACCTCTATGTTTTCTCCCCATCCCCCAAGATGAGATTCAAATTGATATTCACCATGAGTTATTAAAAGTTATCTCATTCATTTCTCATTAAATTGCTCTAGAACTCTCGGTCTCGCTCTCTTGATTCTTTGCTCTTGGTGTAAATCAAACACATTTGTGGAGTCGTTTAAATATGTTGGATTTTTTTAATATATTGGATTTTAAACTGTCATACAATTTTTTTTCATTGATAGACTGTAATTGAAACCATAACTCTTATTTATTCAAATTGTATTAATATGTAAGGACCAAGTGTAACTTATATCGTTGTTAAATATTCTCTAATAAAACCAGTGAAACTTCGTAATCGTTAAAATTCACGGCTCCCGCCACATTGTGCAGGTACACAACTAATATATATATATATATATATATATATATATACATATATATATATAGTATATTTCAAATGCAACCCAATCAATTGAGATATTTATGAAAATGATGAGAGTTCATTTATTATGATTTAAATATTTATGGAATACGACTAAGGTTTATTAATTATGATCAATACTTTATATTAGAAAACAATCAAAACTTTTATGAAATCACATATTCATCAAACTAAATGGACAGTTGAAATTGAGTTGTATTGGTTGTACAAACGTAAAGGGTTACATAATAACTCAAATATACTATTAGATTAAACTTCGATGCATATGTTAAAGTGAATTAAAATTTGATGAAATTATAGAAATGAAGAATACCTTTGGTACACTAATTTAATGTAGAATTTAATGCATTCCTTCTCTAATCAACCAAAAAGTTTGATGTTGATATTCTATCATTCGATTTCATAGAATATCTCTTATTTCAACATCGAAAATATGAGAAACAGCCAATTTAATGCAAAGTACAAAGTGATTAAGGATATACCTAACATAACATAACGGTCCAGACCTCAGACCGTGGAGTTTAAATGGTAAACCAAGTGTGACAATATACGAAAGTGCATCTTAGATTAAGAATTACATAGCAAATAAATGAAAGTTGAGGACTTGACTATATATGCCGGATACATTTGAAACCGAACTAAGGGATAAATATTGAGGTCAAGATAGTAGGAGTTGGATTGGGATTTTCAGAACCAATGTGTCGTCATTTTTGTTTACCAGGAAATATGACATCTTTTGGTGTCTAGACGTAGGTTGTGCGTAAGAGTCAAACTGTAGATTTTGATTGAAATCAAGTATGAAGGCGAGCCTCATGAGAGCACATACAGACTCGCATAAGTGATGAGTATGGGGAAGGTTAGAAGCTCGCATATGAGTTACATTGGTTACGCTAGACCAAAATCTAGTTCAAAACTCACACCCGAGCACGTGCTCAGTTTGTCATAATAAGTTAGGCATGTGAGGTCTGTCCTAAGCTCGCATTTACTCAACGTGAGGTGGAAAACACAGCTGAAGCTCGAGTGTAAGGTTGAGTATAACCCCTATTGATTTGAGGAATAGTTCAGAATCGTACGTTGTCATAATAAGTTCATTACGAGTATTCAACATCATGTTTAAACACCTAGTGTGCATGTTATATGTGTGTATGTGATACTGTCAATCTAATAATAGGTCAGTTCTAGATATCCTACACGATCAAGTGAGTCTTCATGTGTAACAACCATAAACCCAAAAATAGACTATTCGTAATCCCATAGCCAAACCGGCAAATACTGATAATGAAATAAGTTTACAATCCAATAAGATCTCAAGAGTTGCAACGGAAAAGTAAGGTATACTGTTGAGATTTATAACAAGACTAAAAATCAACTGTGTGAGACTATCTAGCTAGAAGACGACGCCTTCTCTTCACGTCTCTAGCTCACACTTTCACTTTTGACCTTGCTAGAGCTCTCAATATGGAATTTTCCTGAAAAGGTTTTCAATTTTATAAAAGGTGAGGGTTAGTTAGACCAAAGGTCTAGTGAATTCCTTCAATATCAAAATTAATACCAGGCTCGAGCTCGATTTGATTAACTTTTCAATGTAGGGCTGGAGCTCGAATACTTTTTGAGTTATCGAGCTTGATGCTCATTTATGGGTTCGAACTCAATTGATTAACTCGTTTATCAACTTGAGCTCGATAATGTGTATATTTTATCATATAATCAATAAATATATGAGCATGTTTGGCTTGAAAGAATGTATGATTGAATGGCTCGGCTCGACTCGACTCGAAAGACTCGAAAATTACATTAAATTGAGTAATCGAAGAAGCCCAGTCGAATATTTATGTTATAAAGCTCGACTCGTTAAGTTAACGAATTCTATTTTTTGTTCAAGATTGACTCGAGCTTGAGAATTATTAAGCTCGAGCTCGAGTAGCTCTTTAAAGCTCAAATCGTTGACACCCCTAATCATCGCCTCCATGGAAGTTCTTCACCATCACAGATTCCAGTTTCAACTACGTAAAGACCAAGCATTTCTATTTCGATTTCGGTTTGAATCTCCCTCTCTGATTATGTTTTTTCAGCTACACGAGGACCAAATCATTTCTCTACATCCATCTCTAATTTCGATTTCGTTTATAGCTTTGAATTTGAGTTTCGATTTCATTCCCGATTTTGGTTTAAATCTTGTTTCGATTTTGTTTCTAGGTTTTTATATGAGTTTAGATTTTGGATTTAAATCTTGTTTCATTTTTCAGTTCTTGTTTCGAACCTGAGTTTCAATTTCGGTTCTAGTTGTTAATCTGGGTTTCCATTTTTGTTATAGTTATGAATCTTGGTTTCTATTTCGGTGCTAGTTGTAAATCTGGGTTTCGACTCCGTTGTAGTTTTGAATATGGGTTTCGATTTCGGGTCAAGTTTTGAATTTGTGTTTCGACTTCATTCCTAATATAAAACGTGGGTTTTGATTTCGTTTCTGGTTTTGAACTTGAGTTTAGATTTTAACCTAGTTTTTTTGTTTGAATATGATTTAGGGCTTGTTCTTTGAATTCAATTTAAGTTTTTGATTTCGATACAAACCTTTTAAATGAATTTGAGCAAAAATGTTATTGAATGCTCTTTGTTGCTTTTCAGAAGTTTAAAGTTCTCGATAATATTGTTCATAATGTTCTTGAACCCTTCATATGAAAATGAAAAAAATATACAAAACTAAAGAAAGTGGTAGAAATACAAAATTGCCCGTCATGTCTTAACGAAGAATTTAAGGATGACGTTAGAGGGAGGGATCTCTACCTTTTGACTTATTAGGATGAGATGCAACGAAGAATTTAAGGATGACGTTAGAGGGAGGGATCTCTACCTTTTGACTTATTAGGATGAGATGCAATAGATCAATTCTTGTATCAAGCACGATTCATAGATATATTTGAGATTAAAAATAATTAAGGATTTTCATCTTTTTAACTCTCTCGTTTATAAAAGTATTCAGACGCTTTACATGTGGTCCTCCCTTTCTTCTTAAACTTGGTGCCCAAACCCTTTTTATCTTTCCGCAATTTCATTTTTTCCTTCTTTTTCATAAAAAGACGACTTATTTATATCAGACACAAACTTTTTTATACATTCTTTTTCTTACAGAAAAAAAGGATCAGAATTTACACGTCACACAAAACGACAAACAACCGAGTTTGCCAAGCCCCCACCACTACCACGCTACCAATAAGTGGCAACATCTTACGCATCGCACTGGATCATACCCATATTAGAATAGTGTACACGCCCGCACCGGATCATACCCTTCAGACTAGTGTAGAACAAGCAGAGGTCTTTGGGTCCCACATGGCTGGGACTAGATACTTTCTCCCGTTTAACCCGTGAGCATTATAACTCGCGCCGCTCGTCTTATCCACTAAAACTTGACCTGCGTAACCCGGGTAAGCACCCGACCCGAACATCCCGGTACAAGCTGACACCGCCTCCAATGGCGCCGTAGCCGATCCTTGAAAATACCCTTGGTTAAACGGGTTGGTGACGGCTCCAGCCAACACCGTCGCCAAGTTGATCACCATTCCGTCTACACCGACGTCGCCGTTCGGAGAAACCAAAGGCGGCGATTGCGGGCCATAAATTGGTTGATGAAACGGCCAAGCACACTGACCTGGGCACTGCGTTTCCGAATTCCCAACCCAAGCATACGCTACTCTCGGCTTCACTTTGGTGGAGCCGTGAGTACCGCACCGGCTCATGCAGAACCCCTCGACTCCGACCTCTTTCGCCGTTAACACGACGTTTATCGACTTGGGTTGAGCGACTTTAGTAGCAAGATATTGAATATGGTAGTTTTTTAGCAACTTCCCCAGAGAATAGTTCTCGTCGAGGATCTGTTTGCCGACAACTACCGCAGAGGAGCCGTTATGATACTTCTCGGTAGTCTTCCACCATGACGCGACGGAGGGAAGTGGTGTCGCCGCCGCCTTTCTCGACCCTTTAAGCGTGTTCAACGACTGTAAGAAATCGACGATTACGGAGCGTTGGGTCGGCGTAAACTTGCCATACCAAACAAGATTAACGGTCACCGGACCTCTGAGAAGCTCGCCGTTGTGGTATTTTAGCACAAGCGGCTGCTGCGAAACGAGCACAGAGGATGATTTCTGGGAAAGAGAAAGGGTGAGGATGAAGATGAGGAGAGTGGCAAAATGGTAAATTGGAGCCATGGCAAGGGTATATGATTAAGTAGAAGGTAGAAAGATGGGTGTGAATAGGGAATGGGGGGAAAGGTGTGTTTATATAGTGGAGACAGCTGTAAGGAGTCACCATCACTAGGATGCCACTTGGAGGGATACGATTGGTGAGGGCCAGGCTGTACCCTTGTGTGCTTGGTAGACAGGTGACGTGGCAAGAGTTGGGGAGTGATAATGACATGGCAGATGCATGGATGCGTGTTTTAGGATGATGGTACGTATCGATGTCTTCATATTGATTTGACTCTAGGAGATTTTTAGTAAATTAAATATTGATTTATTTGATTTTTGTTAGTTTTTTTAATATATAAATAAATTAATTTATACAAACAATTTTATTCGTAAATATATATATATATATAACTTAATGGAAAACTGATTATTGATACGGATGGTGTGGATTATTAGTACGGATGGTGGTCCAGGATGGGTCAGAGCCCATAAGTAAGTTTTCATCATTTCAAGTAACTTAAAGCATGGGCATTTTAGCTTTTATAATTTTCCAAAATCTTTATACTATTTTTAATAAATAAAACATTATATTTTGGTCGACCAAAATAACACCCTTTTTAAATCATTTGTCTCGTTAGGAAAACCTCATCGACATAATAAAAGTTCTTTAATTATAAGTCTGAATTTTTGGGGGGGTCTAGCGGCCGTTCATGGTCTAACAAGATTTGTTATCAATAACATAAGGTTAGATGTCGGTCAACATAAGAGTGTGCGTGCATTTTGTCTCACAATAAAACATAAATCACAAGTGATACAAACGTTCATGTGTTTTCCTGCTTTGAGAATATCCTCGTTTGAACCATCTCTCTCTCTCTCTCTCTCTCTCTATATATATATATATGAAAAGTTATTGTTTTTGAAATGAGGTAATATTTGGAATTAAGGAAAAGGTGAAGGGGGTAAAATGAAATAGTGTGTATTGATTTGTAGGGGAGCAGGCTTAGGTTTGGTGGTCAATAATGGGTACCAAAAAGGGGTGGAGCTTTGGGACCCACAATCAAAGATGAGTATGTACGTGACATCACCAGCTGCATATCCCACAACTTCCACGCTTCTTAAAAGCCGCGCAAATAAAAAACGTTATTTTAAAAGTAAAGTTCAATTTTGGTCCTTGTAGTTTGTATATTCGGACGGATATTGTTCTTGTACTTTATTAACTTGGTTTTGGTCCCTTACGTTTGTACATTTCTAGCGGATTTCGTTCCTCTATTTAATGGTCGTTAATTTTTTTTTTTTTTTTTGTTAAACCCATTTAAACAAGGGGTATTGTGATCTATTTACCATTGTCTCTTATTTTTTTATTGGAAGACTGTAAAACCCTGTTGGAAATGGATAAATCATTAGAAGATTCATACTCTAAAAAACCCAACCACCACCTTCTCCCCCTCCGTGACCCTTTCTTTTCTCAAGTGAAAAGACCCACGTGATGGTGAGCTGACTCCCTCCCCCGTTCAACTTCAATTAACGGCCTTCTTTTCTTTGCATATCTAGACCGGTGTACCCTCAAAATATACCAAGGTATCGTCATCTCTAGCTGGTGTACCCTCAAGAACACCTAGGTAATTGGCGTCTCCCACAACACCAGTCATCTCTCTGGATTTCATTTCTCCCACCACATTAGGTATCTCCAACCACCTTCCAACATCTTTTGTTTCTCGAATGATGCGCATACCCGTGATTAATTTCGTATTCAAAAATGGTGGTGGTGGAACCCTCGATTAGTGTTGGGTTTTGAGATTAGGGTTTTGAATACTACAACGGGTTTTCAAGATTTGGGTTTCGAAGACTGTTGTTGAGATCAAGATTTGGGTTTCTATCGTTTAATATCTGAGTTTTTACCTTCAAAGATTTGGGTTTAGAGGTTGTTTTTGTATCACTAGCTTTTGAAATGAATTTGTGTTTCCTCGATTCAAAGTGTTTTGATTTCATGGTTAAAATGGATTGAAACTTTTGGGTAATAATCTAGATTGTTGATATGGATTCATGTTCTTAAATAAGCACCTCGGTATCCATTCGCGTTCTTAAATGTACACGTGTGTCCAAGTTCTTTGATCTTGAATTTGTGTTATGTTTCTTGAGTATTAGTCGAAGATGATGGCTGGAATGGTCAGAGAAGAAGACTGTAAAGAGATTAGCTATGTAATTTACTAACAAAAAAATAGATAAATTTTTAAACCCTTTTAGGGTTTTTAATAAAAAAAATAAAAGACAGTGGGAAATTGACTACGATGCCTCTTATTTAATGGATTTAACGGAAAAAATTAAGTATCGTTAAATAAAGAAACAAAATCTGCTAAAAACAGACAAACATAAGGGACCATAACTGAGTTTATGAAGTTTAGGGACGATATTAATTGAAAAATATAAACATTAAAAATTGAACTTTACTCTTATTTTAAATACATATTCCATTTCAAAAAAATATTATTAAATAGAACTTTGAGTAAACTACAATTTTGTTCTTTACGGTGTACACAAAATCATTGTGTTTCCAGAAGTATAATAAATTAATGATGATTATTAAGGGTGCTCAAAAACCCGATCAACTCGATCAAMCCAACCCAACCCAATTCAACGCGAAATAATTTAATCTGAAACAACCCGATGTCTAATTGAGTTGTAAAATTTTCTAACCGTAGGTATTGGTCTGATATTGGGTTACTATTATTTGAATTCAACCCAACCCGATGAACCCGATATTCTTTTATTTCTTGGATTTAATACGATTGTTGAATTTATATTAATATATACATTAGACAATTACACTATCATGTATGCTTTTCATATACACATATTTTCAATCTATTCAGATATAACTCATTCATATATATGTTCAGTAACTGTGAACATATATATATATACGTAAATTGATAAAATTAACTGAATATGATACATGTAAGAAATATGGATAAGTTGTATCAAATGATTGATGATGAAAAAGAAATTATGAGTAGAGAAATAATATATTCAAGATTAGAAGAATATTTTAATATACCAAAGTATCAACCCGACCAACCCGTATGGGTTGGGTTGGGTTATACTTTGGTTTGGGTTGGGTTGGATTACACTTTGGTTTGGGTTGGGTTAGGTTAAGATTTTTTCAAACCGCAAGCATTGGTGATTTGGTGAATGTAGAATTTTAAATAAATACCTTAATAGCTTTTATATAAACTAAATTTCTTTTATAACCTTATTTATTTATTTTTAGAATTAATTACTTAAGATATTATTTGATGAAACGATTGGCTCAAAATTGTTTTTATATTATTTTAAATATGTATCATTCCCGTTTGATCCACACTCTCTCTCTCTCTCTCTCTCTCTCTCTCTCTCTGTGTGTGTATATATATATCTATACTATCTTATAAAGCATAGGGCTAAAACTCTTAAAAACTCTTAAACCCTTCCCATATCTGAATTCGTGTAACTAACTGCAGATAAACATAATCAAATCCAGGATAAACATCTCATTTTAAATATAAAAAATCTAAAATATAATTTGTATAATCATTAAATTCCAACAGAATATTTAATTATTATCTTTATAAAATTTATAATATTAACCCAAAAATAAATTGTTTTATTATTAAACTTAAATTAAATTTTATAAAAAAATATATATATTTTATATTATAAATCATTTGACAAAAACTCTTAAAAACTACTTTTTATGCGTAAAGTACTGTTTATTAATGCATATTACTTAAAACTCAAGATTACAAGTAAATTGTGCGTAGGTACAACTTATTAATGCTCCATAT